GACGAGAGACCTAATTTTACATATTAACTATATATATATATACATATATATATATACACACACACGAGGCACAGTTGGCACCGAAGTCCCTGCCAACAGAGATTTCGCGTTTCCTCGTTCAACTTTTTTTTGACCTTTCAACCCCGTCTGCCCCAGACCACGCTGGCATCAAGTATTATCCAACTTCGTATAATTCACGCGGAGGATAACTGTGCCTCGCGTCTGCCTCGAGGATGAGTCGGCGACTACCAGGAATAGAAATGCGGCCAGAAAGCGAGAAAGACGAGGAATCCGAGAGAGCGAGAGTCCTGGAAGGGAATTAATCGGACGCGGTGAAGTTTCGCGAAGACTAATCGGCTCTGGGTTTTGCGGGTGGTAATTGGACTGAGAATAGGGGTTGTTGGCGAGGGGGTGCTCGTGGAGACGGATGAAGCCGACGATGGGGGGTCGAAGGCCAAGGGGAGTCGAGACGGTGGCTCGGCCGTTCGGTGGAAAAGGGCTGGGGCTGGCGTGTACTGTGGTCTAGGACGGGTTCATAGTGAATTGTGCTTTAACGTCAAGTCGAAACGGGAGGCGAATTTTGCGGAGGATTGACGCGTCCTGTTTACATTCCAGGGAACGCCTGTATAGGTATACATGCCTGCATGCGCGAACGCCCGATGACGGCAACGTGGCGAACAGCGCCGAAGGGGGGCAGAGGGGAAATCTCCTGTTCGCCTTCAGTTATAACCGAGTATACGAATTTAGATCGCTTAGTAATTGTTGACAGTGCTGGCGAGTTCCGAAAATAGAGCAGGAGGGAGGAAAGGGTGGGGTTAGTGAAAAGTGGAAAAAACCTTGAAAAACTAAAAGACTCGCACACGCTCGAACTCTGGCCAAGTGTGTCAGTGGCGAACGTGCATGAGGTTAGAATGTTATTACGAAATATTACACAACGATTGACCGAATGGTATTGCAGACAAGTAATATCTTTCATATTCAAACTGATCGCCCGGTACGTACGTTCCTGTTGTGAGAGTCCCTTTAGGTTCACGGCTAGAGGAACGTATCGATCCGCCGTTAAGAGTTTGGCCCGATTTCAGCAAACTCCACGACTTCTTTTATTCTGCGCTAACGGAGCCGGTAAACCAGACACC